ACTAAAGGAGGTTTCAGAAAGTAGGCACTATTTTTCCTATATACAAGATATTATAATGGATTTATTCCATATATTAATGTATTTGTTCTATTCATTAATTCTATATTTTTTCACAGAAAAAAGTGCCATCCAGAGTACCATCTGAACGTATTTTACAAAGTAAGTGAGCATTAATGTTCAAGGTAAGCTTTTTAAATAGAAATATTTTAAATGGTCTTGGCCATTTGTAATTTCAGTTTCTAAAGTAACTTCAGATCAAAATGTTTCTTGATATTACTCTGAAAATCTCTCAAACAATTCCACACATACAAACAGAAGCGAGTACAACAAGAAAATATACTGGTTTTAAAACATATTCTTTAAAATAATTGTATGTCTGCAATCTGTTCTTTGATGACTGAACTGTTAAAGAACAATTAAGCCACCGTATATTTCATAAGAGGCTGCAGCAGCCCCCTGGGTTGCTGTGAGATCCTTTTAAAAGCGATGCACAATATTAGCACCATTAGGTCTGTGAAGACTTGCACACAAGTCAAAATAACCCCAGAGATTTCAAATAGGTATCCAGTGTCAAAATCATTCTGACCTGTTGCAGTAGTCTTTCTGATTTCTTTGCAACAAAATAATTGCTCTAATTTTTCCATAGTCAAGGAACAAGCTGGCATTTGCTGGGGATGGTGAGCCTAAAAAAGGTTGAAACCCACTGCTCTACACCCTTGCATGCTTCCAGTGTAGCAAGCCTGGGATCTTGTGGGTAGTCTTTCCCCAGCATAGTTTCACAGTTGGTAGGGTTGGAAGGGACCTGAGCAGATCATCAAGTCCAACCCCCTGCCATGACAGGAAAGAGTACTGGGGTCAAAAAACCCCAGCAAAGTTCATCTAGCCTCCTCTTAAACACCCCCCAGGGTCGGAGCCAGCACCACTTCTCTTGGAAGTTGGTTCCAGATCCTAGCCGCCCTGACCGTGAAGTAGCGCCTCCTGATGTCTAGTCTGAATCTACCCTCTGCCAGCTTGTGACCGTCATTTCTAGTCACTCCTGGTAGTGCTCGGGGGAAAAGGGACTCCCCCAATGCCTGCTGGTCCCCTCTGACTAGTTTGTAACAAGCCACTAGATCCCCCCATCAGCCTTCTCTTGTGGAGGCTGAACAGGCTCAGGACCCTTGCAGGGCCTGCCCTGCTGTCCCCTGATCATGAGTGGCCCTCCTCTGGACCCTCTCCCTGTTGTCCACATACCTCCTGAAGTGCAGCGCCCAGAACTGAATGCAATATTCCAGCTGCGGCCTGACCAGTGCCGCATAGAGGGGGAGGCAGCCTGCTTCAACCTGCTGGATTCTCTGGTACCTTCTCCCTTCTTGTCTGCCACACCTTGATGTTCTCAAAGACACATTTGGGAGACTGTCTTTAAATGATCAAGTGGCTGGGCTGGACCCCCTTCTTACTGTGGAGGTCTCTGTTCCTCTGTCACTGAGTTCCTGGGCAATAGTCACCATTCCTGGGCCTTGTAACAGCCCATGCAAGTGCCATCTGCAGAGCCTTTACCTGGTACCCTCAGTGGCCTCCTTCTGCCTCTTCACCCACTTCCATGCCTGGCAAGATCAATTACAAGAAAATATGAAAATGTATTAACTCATCTCTCTACCTGAGACTCACTCTCCTGATGACCTCCTTCTGCTACCACAGTCTGGACCAACCACCACCTCTAGCCCAGGAACCAGGCTTACGTTCCCCCTGACTTCTCCTTTTTCCCCAGTTACCTGCCCCACCTACCCCTCATTGCAAAAGGGCTCAGGTGTTGCTAATCCTCTACCCCAAGTTTATCATTCTGCAGCCCATGATTTACTGCTGCAGCCTTCACCTTACTACCCAGCTCACAAACTCTGCAGTTTTGTCTCTTAGGCTAAGGACAGACATTACACACAAACCAGTTTAAGTGATCAGAAACTGGTTTAAACCTGTAACAGAACAGATCTTCAGTGCACATAAGCCAGTTTGAAAATGGCTGAAAATGGTTTGAGATAAACCTGAATGTAGCATCAGACTTAACTGATTTGGCTCAAACCAGTTTGTGCAATGTCTGTTCCAGACCCCTTGCTGGTTTAAGTTAAATCAGAGTCCTCCAGCATCCCGGCATGCTCTCTGGGCTGGGCAGGGATCTCTGCTGCACACCAGGACTGGCCCCTCCCCTTTGCTCCCTGGATGGAGTTCAGCACAGACTTGCAGGCACTGCAGGGTCTGTTGGCTTCCATGCCCCCTTCTTCCCCACCTCCCCCCTACCACTCACTGCTTAAGCAGAGATCCCTTCCTCCTTTCTGCCACAGCACAGACCGTGGCCAGCACGTGGTATGCTAGCTAATGCTGAGAGATGTCCGTGTGTGTCTCTCTCCAATTTCACTGGGACAAGCAAACAGAACAGTGACCACTTAGGGCTTCTGGAGTTAATCAACAGGTCAGCCAGTAAGCTGTTCAAGAAGTGTGAAGTAATGTGGAGAGAGGCTATTGTTTTGCTAAGTGGGTGATAAAGATGGTTATCAGCCTCCCAGCTGGCTTGCTCACCTGTCAGTTTGCTGCAGACAGTACCACAAAGCAGGGAGGGAGATTGAAAAGCTCCGTATGCACTGCATCATCCCTCCCACCCCCGTCTCAGAGTGCTAGTTCGGGGCTGGCAACACACCCACCCCTTAAGCAGCCAGCGGGGAAAAGCCTGGGACAGTGCAGGCAGACCTCCCTAGTCTGAGAGTCCTGCCGTTTGGCCACACCCCCCTCAGCTCAGCTCCCTGCAGAAGGGAGGGGAGGGCTGCTCTAGTGCCCCCCAGCATCTAGCCTGAGCCACTGCAGGCATGTCCCTGAATTTCCTCAGTCCAGAGAGAATGTCTGTCTAGTTACAAACCAGTTCAGCCTAGTCAAGTTAAACTCACCTGCAAAGATTGAATCAATTCAGGCTCAGGCTTTCTGAATGTCTGTCTCTGGCCTTAGAAGTAGATACAAGGATTTTCTATGATCCCAATTGCAGGCTTGATTCTGCAATCTGCTGGGCCTTCCACAGACTGAACTCTCCATTTTTCCACAGCCATCACTTAATTAGCTGCATGGCCTCACTCTTAGTAAGAGTGGTTGGGACCCCTGTTAGACCAGGTTAAAAAAATAAATCACAAAACCTACCAACAAGAATTTGGGAGGGGGAGAAAGGGAAGAGAGAGAACCAAGCCCTCTTCATGCTTTGAGGGGGGGGAAAAAAAAAGTGTTTCTTCTGGTCTTGAACAAACATCTTTCTAAGAGATATGCTCTAGTTAACACTGAAATTATAGGGTTGATGTAGGAATCACTATGTGAAATTCACATAGCATGTATATTGTACAGGCAGTCAGATTTCTCAACACTCCTGTCAACTCTGTTGGATAATGAGCCAGAACAGCATAAACAGATTCTAAAATGCCCCTCATCTGGCCAGAGGATCATTTTCCAATTCAGGATCTTAGGAAGACAGCCATAGTACGTTATGCAACTATTGTTTGCAATATAAAGGGATATGCCAGAAGCAGGACAGGAAGATGGACTATACAGGGCATAACACTGAAGAGACTGTGCGCTGCCGTTGATAGGAAGCTATGGACAGATGGTTCCAATTCTGGCAGCCTTTCAGGCCTGACAGTTATACCCACACTCCATGCCAGGCCGAAACTGGGATGTAGGAAACAAAGCTTTAAAGCCACCATTCTACAGAGCATTATTTAGTCTGGAGAAGAGAAGACAGAGAGGACTTTATAACAATCTTCAGATACCTGATGGAGAAGCATAAAGAAAAGGGAGATGGACTTCTGTGTGGCCACAGGGGACAGGATTATAAGCAATAATCTCAAGCTTCAACAGGGGAAATTTAAATTGGAGATGAGGAGCAACTTTCTGAATATGCAGGTGATCAACCATTGGAACAGGCTACTTGTGGAAGCTTCATCCCTGGAAAATTTTCAAAAGCAGATACATGGCTGGGATTGCTTAATCAGGGATGCTCCTGTGTTGAGCTAGGCAGTTGAAATAGATCAGAGGTTCCCAACCAAAGGGTTGGCTGCCGAGTCATGGCACGAGCCCACCACTTGGACCCGTCTCTCCACCACGGCAGCATCTTCCGCCACTGGCAGTCGTGTGCTAGGCGACGAAGCAGCACTGGGAGGGAGGCAGCCAGCTCCAAGAGCCCCATCCCGCTCCCATGTCGGTCCACAGTATAAAAAAGGTTGGAAACCACTGGACTAGATGACCTTGAAGTCCCTTCCAGCTCTACTTTCACCTGATTTTGTGTCTTACACCCCTACAAGCAGCGCAGAATGTCACCTTAGAGGATCATAATGATCCCTCCTGATCTTTAGATATGAAAGAAGAAACATCATACTTTTGCTGTCTTTCCGCTCTGTCTCAATTAGGCACCTCTCTTGTCCTGAACCCTTCCCTCCAGTGCTCCATTTCATTTCTACCACTACCCCCTTGATCCTTTATCCATGGCACAAAAATTTCACAAGCATTTATCAACCACCTGGTTTTCTTATTCTGTGGCAATATTCTGTAGCATTTGCTCAACCATGTGCTAGCTGTACTTTAACTAAAAATAAATGAGGAAAGTAACTTATCTGATAAAAATGACAAAATAGATATCAGGCAACAACACTACTCCAAAATACAGTGCGATCACTGTGAAGACTCTCACCTGACTCCTACATTTATTTTGGGGTTCAACTGGTTGCGGTGGGAGAAAGGGAAAAAGAGGAAGGCAAGGTTTAAGGGCCAGGCAAGGGACCCAGTATGTTTTTATTTTATAGCTACTTATTGGGTAAGTCTGACAAAGAGAGAAAAATGCAAGTTCAACTAATTTGTCCAAAAACAGCAGAAAGCCAAAAGATAGCCATTCTTTAAAAACCAAAAAAAGTTAAGGGACACATGAAAATATTTAGAATTATAAATACCGAGTCAACAAAAAAACAGGATTTTCAGAAGTGCCTACATGAGTTGAGAGCATAAGTCTTACCAACTTTCACGTGCCTAAAAATGGTATTAATTACAACTCAGGGCCAAAAAATCCCCAATTCAGAAGTATAGTCCAGTAAAGATGGCTGTATTATTACATTTTTACTAGACTTCTCTCAGCTATATTTGAAGGACTTTTGCTCACCACCCTTACAGATTAAAATATCTAAAATGACACTGCTAGCAGAAAGGTTCTTGTCACCTACAGCAAATTTGAACTCTACGTTATCAAGGACAAGATTTCATTAGAACTGTCTGACAAGGTGTAAACCATGAACATTCAGAGTCATAACAGTTCCACAGTATCCAAGGTACCTCTGAATTCTTAACACACAAGCTTTTTACAATCATAAATTAACTATTAAATATGCTCTTCCTTGTTTTCCCAATTAAAAGATGGCACTATTATCAGCACTATAAGAATATTTTATGTTCTTTCACATTTCATTTTCAGGAATTTAACTGATATTAAAAGTTATCTACCCTTGAGTTTCTCACTGTTGCCAAAGGAATTATTTTTTGTTCCCTTCAAAATAATTAAATCAGTTAACATTTAATAAAATTAATGAATTGTTTTAGTAACAACTATTTTATCCACTTATATATACACACATATACCAGATTCCATTTCTAAAACCTGAGTATGCAAGTATTTAGGTCTTGTGTAGTGTAAGTTGAAGGAAATAAGCAAAAAAAAAATCAATATATAAAAGGTTTTAGTCACAAAAGCAATATGAACAAGTAGTCTAAGACACCCAGATAAGCACCAAATTGGAATGAACCCAATCCTTTCACCAGCATATGGGCACTCTGCACTTCCTGTTACCTACCAAGCAGTTTTTGAAAGATGCAGACAGACAAATTAGTTAAAGGAGAGACACCCCATGGCAGCTGTTCTTTTGTGTCTGCTTCCTAGCAGAAGCCAAAACCTGAGAAGCCTTCCAGACATATTAAAACCAAGATTGCACAAAACTACTGTACAGCAAGTTGTCCCCACCACCACCTTTTAACTCCGCTTTGGTTGTCCAGCTGCACACAAAAATCTTGAGCAGATATCTCCTCAGAGCCAAGCACGCACTCCCTAACATCTGCAGCTCTATTACAATCTATCTGCACAGTTGACAGAGACTCCATGCCATGTGATCCAGCTGTTTTTTGTAATTCCTTTGAGAGGAATAAGAAGAGTGCATTTATCAATTATTTGCAAGTCTTTACCCCATACAAAAAAATACTGTAAAGGAACATTACCGTTTCAAAACAGACTCAGAAACAGAGGAAGTGCCAGAGGTGCCTATACAAACTTAACTCTTCCTTGAAATCATCATGAAAAATCATATTTATTCCCACACACATGCACACAATTTTATACACAGGACTCCTAACTCTATTCAGTTTCCATACTGCATAATGTGCAGTGAGCAAGGCAGTTGTTCAATATTAATATCTTATCCTCAACATCTGGTCATACCCCTCATTTCACTGCCCACCAACCAAATCCCACTAGGTAGAACAGACTACTGCCTCATGCATTACACATTATTCAACTTTTGCAGTAAGCAGGACAGGAAACTAATAACTCCCATGTCATTCCTCCCACAACCTACATAAAAGAGAGGCACAGTTCTCTTGAAAAAGTGATACCGTAGGGTATTACATGTAAAACATATTTAGAACAATTCTCTAGCTTTTTCAACTGCTGTGGCCTAAATATCTAAGTATATTTAGGCTTGAATACAGGTTGTTAAATCTATTTCTTTTACTATTTATCATTAGGATAGTATCACATTATTCTCACTGCTGAGTTTGTCCATCCCCTCTCAGCCAGCACAGACAGCACAAAGAACCAAAACTTTGTTCCACTCGTGCTAAAGCCAGCAGGCTCCAAAGAAATATTAACCAAACTGAACAAACCACTTTCTGAAATAAGGATTCCTTATTTTTTTACAATGACATTTCAATTGTAGCAGTGATATATCATAGAGCAAGACATAAACCCTTGTCCCACTAATAGAAGACTAGAGAGCTTTTGAGGAAATCTAGCAATGGAACATTAATTTGAAGTCATAGTCAAAAAGTGTTTAATACTAAAATAATACTTCTTGCTAAAAATAACTGTGTTGCATATCAGAAAATCAGGGGTCCTCTGAAAGGAGTGGAGTTCAACAAGACAGTTCTTCAACATAAGGATTTATTTAGGAGGTAAACCTTTTGCTTATACCCTTGGAAGCTTTGGCAGATCACAAGGGAGTTTTAATTAACCAATTAAATATAAATCCCAATTTTATCACTTTCATCCAGAGACTATATAGTTTCATAATGTTCAAGGCAATAACATGATCTAAAGAAGTCATTTTGATAGCTAGTAATGTAAGAAAACCGTAACAAAACAACTGACATTCACTCTCTGCTGCAAATATACCGGATACTTGAATATTTTGTTGCTATAAGAAAGAATACATGCTTCCACTTGAAAGTCACCTTCCTAATGCACACACTTAAATTAATAAACTCCAAGGTGATTTAAATTATGAAAATTTAAAAACACTATGCTGTCAGATTGACCCAAAATGATGGTCTCAGGGAAAGAACTACTTAAAGACAAAACATCAAGGGTTCTTTTTTTTATAACTTATTAAAAATGCTAGATAAAGATTAATTAGTTTACTCCATTGTTAATGTTTTACGCACATTTAAAAGGGATCTGGAAGCACTTTAATGAATTACAAGATTATCGCCTTTTTCCATAGATTTAGTACAGTATCTCTAAATTGCAAGAACACAGCTTTAAGCTATTTCATCAAAATGGGGACTCATAAGAACTGATCTGACAAGTGTGGAGAGGGAAGCTCTGTTCCATAGAACAACCAAGTACTCATGCAGCCCCGATGACCACTGCCTCTAGTATGAACAAACTACCTTGAGGAATAAGGTTGGCTCAGGTGCCATGCAGTCTTTCATCTGTACCAATACTAAGAGCAAGCAAGTCAATTAGTGCCAGCGTTAATAGTGATAATTGCATGGACAACTCGCTGCTAAAAATGAATTAAGGTGTCCAGCTCACTTCAAAGGCCAACCCACCAAAAGATCTTAGAGTTTAATTTAATAAACTGAGGCATCCTGACTCAAACTTGTGCTGAGGTGAAAGGGCAACTGCAATACTACAACTTTCTGGTATTTCTTCATATACTGCATTCCATTACTTTTTCTCCAAGAACAGATCCTGGTTCCTAGCAGATAAGATATTAGGGATAATCTCTGGATGGCTGTATTTGAGAGAGCCACAAACAAGAGAGGTACTGGCAACAATACTTCCACGTCACCACGCTAATAATGATCAGAAATACTGCCACCTACCAAACAGCATTTCAGGAAATCAGTGTGCATTCCAAATCTAGTCTGTCCTTGATCAGGTAAGAGAGCCGTGCAAGCAAAGACCTTCACAATGTAGTCTGAAACATACATTAGTAGCAAGACAAACCACACACTAAATCAGTAAATATAGTGATCATCTTGGTGTGTTCATCTAGAGCAGAAGTGTCACAGATATGGCCCCCATAGGTTGTATCTAGCCCACGGTGCCATATGACCTGCCTCGTGGGTCACTGAACCAACTCCACACACCAATTCCAGCCCGAGCCCCACATGCTGCATGTGGAGCGTGGGCTAGACCCAGCATACAGCACCAGTCACACAACACAGGGTGTTGATCCAAGGCATGCACTACATGTGGCTCCCTGCCAGACTTCTTCTTCATGCTGGCTCTGGACCCAGTCCAGCCTGGGCCATACTGGATCCAACACACAGGGCTGGTCCAGTGGGGCACAATGTGCACGTAGTCAATCCAGCCTCGCACTCAGAAAGCAACACACGCCAGTCTCAGGGCTTGCTGCACATGTGGTTCACACTACCTGATGGCGTGTGTGCTACACATAGCACAGCATTGATTCAGGATGTGGGATGCATGCAGCAACCCAGACTGCCCCACTGTGCTGCCTCACCCACAGGCCCAGATGAGTTTGACACCCTTGACCTAGAGCTGAAGAGCAAATTCAGGTTTTGTAAGAAAAACATATACAAAAAATATTTTGAGCAGCAGAATTTCTAACAATTTCTACCCCAATTTCTAGCCTATAGGAATATCAACTAGCTGTTTAGATCACATGCAATATCTATAGCCTTCTGAAAGTAGCAAGCCTGCTCTCCCCTGCTCACACTCACAGTAATGCATCACCTGAATAAAATCTGCAAGTGTGATCACAGACAAGGCCAAACCAGAGAAACCAAGACACACAGTACTCCTTTAAAACAAGAAAGGTTTATTTTAAGAAGAAATAAAGGTTCATATTTAAAAAGCAGCTTAGTTCCATCCTGAAGTCACATTTGTTTTGTGACATCACATACAGTTGTTGTAAAAATTAAGATTACACATAAGGAAAAAAGAGCAGGAAGCAGCAAAATTCTGACAAAGACCTTGTTTTTATGAAAATACCTTTCCTAATAAAAATGCAGAAAACTAAACCAGAGCATGCAAATAAAGGCAGAATTCTCTCTAAATGTGTTTTCCAAAGCCTTTCCTCAGGACTTCACAATTCTTTAAACCTTTCACGGTAGGAGATTAAAATGCACTTATTAAATAAACTGGCCTACTATCAGACTGCTGTAAATCTTTCACAGGGGAAATCTATAAATATTGGATCAAATTCCAAGCAAAGCTTTGTAAATTATTCATTTCTAAAATAAAACAGCCTTCAAGGTTTTATTTCTCCATCAAATTACTTTCTAATTCCTGCAAAAGAAAGACGGTAAATATTCAGGTAAACTAAACTGGCTTTTATTCATGCACCAGTTATTTAGCCTTTGCCTTCCAGCCATGCTTGAAGACCCAGAGTTTTGGGGCTCTCTCTGCCTGGTGCTGGACTAATGTATCTTACTACACGGTCTGAAGAGCTTACACATTAAACACTGAATAAGTGAGAACAGGTGAATGCAGACTGACTATCTTTAGGGAACACTGTAAGGCCATTATCTTTGAAATCACATTTCAATTTTAAGTGTCACAATTCAAATATGCCTTTTGCTCTCAGCCCCCTACCTGAGCAGTCCTGACCTCCGCCAAAAAGGAGAAGTACCAGAGACTTAATCCTATTTTTATTTGGCGTTTTGTTCTTGTCATATAGGATTTTGGGAAATGAAGATGCTTACTATAAACTTGTAATTAAAAACCAAATATAAAAATAAAAATGCCTATGGCTCCCACAAGTAAGATGCTACAATGCCTAAATTACAGGAGCCTGGCCTTCGAAATAGAGACCAAAACCCAGTTACGGCACTCTACAGGAAACCTAGGTGCATAGGGAGAGTTAGATATCTCCAAAGGGTGATCCAAAAACCCCACACTCTGCACAGGGCACCTCCTAGACCTATCCAACAGAAAATACTAGGCACAAGGGTGTCTGAACTCCTGGTTCAAGTCCCCCACCATCTCAGCATTTTGCAGCCCTGGGCTGTGCTGGGCTATCTCCTCCAGAGAGTAGGGCTGGCCCCACCCCTCTGCTCCCTAGCTGGAGCAGTGAGGGGTGGTTCACTGCCCTCCCCTCCCTACCCCAGGCAAACCCCGGCTGGAGTCTGGGGGCAGGGAGTGGAGTTAAACTTCTCCTTCCCTGCTAAAATGTGTGCTAGCTGTGACTATGGACTACAAATCCCAGAGGCACCTACAAGCAGGAAGAGGAAGTGATGAGAAACCCTGTAGAGTCCTGGTGCTGTGATTGTGGACTGCAAATCCCAGAGACCTCAGGGGCACACAGCCCATGCTGGCTGCATGCCAGAGAGCCATGCTCTAGCACTCCCCTGCTTCAGGCATGTGACTGCATTTTCTGAATTAACAGTGAACGTCTATTCATTTGCTTATTGGTTCAACCTTTACACTAACCTGCAAAGTCTGAATCAATTCAGCCTTGGGCTTTTTAACCATTAGCCCAATTCCTCTCTGAAACCTAGGCAATTTGAACAGGGCAGTGAGGAAAGCACCACCCAGAGCACTCAGAACACTCTTCTGAGGACAAGCCTTTACAAATAGTCCCTTCCCCCTTTTAAATAATAACTAGTGATTACAGCACTGTGCCAGAATATGGCAAATCTGAACGCTAGGTCCTCCTTGGCCTGATTCAAACCCGTAAGACTATTAAAAGGTAGGCTAGATGTAGGAACTCTTCAGCCACCTCACTGAAGCTAGAACACTGCACATAATTCAAGAATTGGGGGGAAAGGAACGAGTGGAGATGGAAAGAGAGAAAAAAAAAAGCAAAAGCCTGACTGTAGCCCAATGGTTAGGGCAGGAAGCTAGGAAGGGAAGCCATAGGTTCCCATCCAAGTCCTCAGTCACTTAAATAAATTAAATTAATTAATTTAATTAATTTTAAAAAATCTCTGTTTAATAAAAAAGGCATTGATTGGGATAAGGAGCAAGTTCTAGACAGAACCCAGAATTTCTACCCATCAGCTAAAGCCCCTAACCACTAATCTAGCATCAGGTTCCTGCTGGCTCACTCTCTCAGACCCTGTAAATACTATATTCTTCGCTGTATAATGGTCCTTGACTTCAGTTAATGGAATGGAGGATGCCACCATCCTGCACAGCCTTTAGGGCATTCTCCTGGAAGCCAGAAAATGTACCTTTGAATCTCCCGGGCTCCAGGCAAGCCTAAAACCCAAGTCATCTTCCACTTCCCAGGCTAGTGCTCTAACCATTACTCCAGTGCATAACAGGTGGGCACTACCACCACCACCTCTTCCTCTGGCCATGTTTTTTAATTGAAGTGACCGGAAGTGCTGTGTTTTGTGCTGATCTCCATGCTCCAAGCAAGCCAAACAGATCCAGTTCCTCAAGGGACCTGGACAATATCGTGTTTAATTTTTGGAAGCAAGTGAGACGTACGGAGCCAGAAACAGATGTTCAGGGCAGGGCAATTTAGAGCATATTTGGAAGGCAAAAGTATAGGCACCTAGGAAGTTTTCAAGGCAGAAAGGAAAGCACTTAGGAAATGTAGGCATCCTCAGAGTAAGGTTCTCACTAATCGGGAGAGGGAAGATAGTGGGGGGTAAAGGGAGAACACAATGACAGACACAGACAGACTTCCCCTTTCAGTAGTCATGTGGCAATGTTGCACGTTGGACAGAACTTTAATCCATTATCTGAAAAGCCATTTCTTAAAACGCAAAATTTAAGTCAAACTTCTGACTCCCAGTTTGCAGGAGTACCCCATTCAAGAACAAGCACATTTTTAATCTCTACGCAAGTGCAGGTTGTGCTATTTAAAAATCTGAGCCTATATACCCAGTGAACAGGAGCAGAAGTTCATGTTTCCTAATAACTTCCTGGATATTTTACAATTGTTTCCTCTCAGGAAGTTTATTCAATCTGTGCTGCTCCAACACTAACACTTCTTGTTGAGAGCTAGGCTGTCCAAGAATACTAAAAGCACATTCCCAAACCTCAGACAGACCTGTTTCTGGCTCAGTAACAATAGGGTTTTCATTTGGCCAAATGTCCCACTACAAGGAATTGAAATAAGAATGAGCTGACAGTACTGCCTAGTGACTCACTGAAACTGTGCAGCACAGTTTCAAACAAGAAATGTAAAAATAAGCCACGCTTCCATTTAAGAAAAAAAAGAACTGTACTCCTTAGTGGATCAGGCGTACATATCAGAGAGAGAGACTTTCTGGATTCCATAATAATGGCTCATTTTGACATGAAGCCTGAGTATTTTTCTTCTTGTTAAAAGCTTATTACTTCCAAGAAAAAAAAAATATGTTTCCACATACAGAAAATGCTTTTGGTCCAACCAAACTGAGGGACTGTTAGGGATTTTTTTTAACCTGAACCTGTAATTGACCCAAATGCTTAAAAGTTCTAGTAGGATCTTATTAAATACCGCTGGCTTTATTCTCTATAGATATTTGAGCACTGAACATCAAAGGACACAGTCTACTAAGTCATGCAAGTCTAGTTATGGAATTAGGGGTGCTTCAGGTCTTTAAATGATTGGTCAGACAAAGAAGAAAAATACAACATCCAGTAATTACTTTTAACACCTTTAAAAACAAAAGTGAAAAAAAAATAAAGGGCTGATCTAAATGAGAAAACAAGAACCCTTTTATAAAATCACCAATTTTAATCTTGTTTTGCATTCCAGCCCTTATTTTCCTAAAGGAAGGATAATTCTCAGTGACTAGTATTCATTAAAACATGTTGCTTTAAAACTGAACATAGCTTGTTACAATAACCATGGTGATACATTTTGCTAACAAGAATACCTACATAGGTTTATGCAGAATAATTTCTACATTTTATGTTACACAGTGGAGACTGGTGGTTCTTATTTCACTGGATTAATTTTTTACATGCAATTTGAGTCAAACTGCTATGGAAATTAAGTAATAAATAGATATATTTTTCTGACTTGTTAAATCTATATTAATTGTATCAGATGTGTAAGAAAATGGTTCAGCGTGTTCTTCATTCAAAACCAATTCATTAAAAAGGGCAGTAGCTGCAGAAATCTGAACTGATTCCTGACGGATACTGACTAGAAATATTTTAAACTAATACCTTTTAGCCTTCCACATCTGTACCAGGAAAAAGTAAAAAGCTTTCCTGAACAACTCCAACAATTTTCCAAACTTTGAATGAACTAGTTCTTGAACTTAAACTGAAATAAACAGTGAAGAAATTTAACTGAGCTTAAAACATTCTTTTTTGCACCTCCTATCAAGTTGGCTGAGAACTTAAACTCTACGTTTTACTGCTCAGTCTGTGATCTGCCTCAGTTCAGGATTTCTAATCTCTTGGGAAGAAAAAAACAACTCAAGACGCCCTCCTTGAAAGATTTTTAATATAATTTAAATTTTAATAGATTATAGCAAGACCTCAATAACAGGTTTTCAATTTCAAGAAAAAAGAAACTTAATTATATAAACAAATCTGATTTAAATTAATATTCCACTTCCAACTTTTTAAAAAACAAATTAATCTACCTCACAAGAAAGCAACTCAGCTGCCATTAAGTAAAATTTAAGAAACCAAAATTAAAGAAAACAATTAAGACTTCCTTGAATTGCAGAGATTTGTTGCTCTTTTTTTTTAAAAAGAGCCAAATGATGTATTAGCTTAATGTTCTCATTATTACCAACTAACACTGCAAATAAAGTGTAGTAGAAAGACAGATGCAGATTTAAGTTTCTCTAAAATATTTCCTCTAAATTTCAAAGAATTTTGTTAAAAATCTCTCTCAAATCTTTCATCTTTTCTGAGTATGCCTGATTATTAATAAACTGCCTCAGGAAAAAGAATATTTAACATTTCTGTAGCGCTTCAAAGATGTAAAGTACTATATCCACATCAACTAATTAGTAGTAGTACAAGACTATCATAGGGACCTAAATTTTAGTGTTGCAAACTGTCAGTTTTACTACCAACTTCCCAAAAGCATTTATGTAAAGCTCTTCAAAGTGAATACACGGACAGAAAAGCTTCGCTCACTAAGTGTACATTTAACATTCTTCTGTAGAACATTCCAAATCCCATTTACAACTATAAAACATTTCCACGCAAAACTACAAAGTTTGCATTGATCACCCCGCCATCCCTCCACAATAGGAGAAGGGACAAAAAAGAGACAGAAAAGTACCGTGCCTCAAATTAATTACAATCTGAAATTAAATAAGATACAGCACAATATTCCAGAAAAGAAAAAAAATTATGCAGGAATTGAAGCAGATGAGAAGGGAGAAGACATTCCTGAAAGAAGTGTCCTTTATAAATATAGACACACAATTCATTTACTGCAAAACTGACTTTATTCTGGAGTAAAAGTGGAGTGGGAACATGATGCACAGCTTTACACTAGTATATACTGCTCTATTTCAGGGTCAAGTTACCTGTCAAGCTATGAACCAGTACAAGTTATATTAGTGTACTGGTTACGCATCTATTCCTCGCCTCCCAAAAGTAGCCATTTGCTCAATGCACACCAGCTCCCCCATCACTCAGTGGCCAACTATTGTAATAACACCTACTTCAAGCAGCCAGCTTGAGCAAGTTGGACATGTGTCCACTCCATACTACAGAGTAAATTTAAAGCGCAAAAAAATCTGGGGTAATTTGTTTCCTAGTATACATACTACATATCCCACAAAAGAGAAGGAACATTTAGTAGACAGATGGCTACTCTACAACCAAAAACTGAAACATTTATAAGCTTAATGGCATGTCCCTAGGTTGAACAATAGTCTAATCTGGTTTGGTGGAAGAGTAACCAGAGATACTGGTACCTCAGGTTAAAAGTATTGAAGATAAATGTTAATATTTGTATGTTGTATCCCTTTCCCTCAACCTGCATTTTACTGTATACTTCTTTACCCCTCCACCTTGAGTTTCATTTTGAAGAGACCAATTTCTTGGGACAAGACCTTTGTATTTTATCTGTATACTTTGTATATTTCAGGTATTAAAAGCAAAAAGCCAAGTACAAGTAGGAGGAAGTCAGGTTAGAGATGCATGGAGTAACCCTAAATAAGTAATCTTGAAGATGGCAATAAGGATGTTCAATTGAATAGAAGAAAAATAGTAAGCAAATGGAAAGCATCAGCATAATTTCCACAATGCCTATATACACCGCAGCTCTATTTGGTTCCCTGTTACCTAGAGCAGTAGTTTTCAGCTTGTGGTCCACAAACCCATGGGGGTCCACAGACTATCTAAGGAGTCGGCAAAAGATAACTATGATCAGTCAAAAGTATGTGAATACCCAAACTTATCATTCAAAGGGGTCCGCACCTCCATTCAAAATTTCCCAAAAGGTCCACACATGAAAAAAGGTTGAAAGCCACTGGCCTAGAGTAACCAAAACTGAGCTTCCAATTAAATTAGATCTGATGAAAAGGATTCTGAACAGCATTTCTGTCCACTTGGAAGGCACAAAGTGGTCTTTCGGTCCAAACAGTAAGATTTTCCACCACAAAACCAGTTTGATTTTTACATTTCAGCTTGGTCCTTGCTTGTAAACTAAACGTCTCTATATGCCAGAATCTTAACTTATAATCGATGCATACAGGACATTTAAAGGAATAAACTAAGCAAGGGGCCTTCAACTAAAGAAGGCAAGTCTGTTGCAAATGATGACTTTTACAGCCATGTGGAGCAGTAGGTGCTTCTTTAAATGCGTCTTCAAGAATATTTAAAAAATCCATAGTTTTTCAAGGAGAACACAGACTGTTTTGTCTTAAGCTGCCAAAAATTACAAGCCAAGATCAGGTTTTTTTTTTTCCTAAGGTATACAGTATAGCTCAATTCACACAAGCTTCCTTGTACCTGCTTGTTTATGCTTTCTCTTCTGTGAAACAAGCCTTTATGTCTCCATAGTGGAAAAAACCCAGTACTTAATATCCTTTTCAAGATGTATGCAGCCAATTAAATTGTAAAGCAATACCTGTTTGAAAGTTTGGCTCAAAGAAACAATACATTCTTTGATTGAGATCAGTGCCAAAAGAGGTCATCTTACTCTTTGGGGTCACACAAGACTTCAGTTTAGAATATTCTGACATTTTGGTTCTCATTTAAAATAAAGCCAAAGATTGGAAGGATTAAATATTGTCCACCCTGTAGGCACACAATTGTATGTACAGTCTTCCTCAACTGGAACACACATCTACCACTGACATTTTCAAGGACGAGGAACTCCTGAATTATCCTCTCTTCATGATTTTATAAGCTACTCAGGAAGAGGTAGAGAAACAAGAACTGTATTTAACTTAGTAATTTTTCTCTCCAAAACAATGTTTGCATTAGTTTTGCAGCTGTATTACTAAAAACTTTCTTGTAAGACCTGGGAAAGAGTATGCATTAACTCTCTAAAGAATTAGGTCATTTGCAAGAGGCAGGAAATGCAACTGAATCAGAAAACAGCCCAAAATAAACCAACTGCTGTCAAACACAAAATAAACAAGCTAAGAAAGAGAAAAAAAGGTCTGGAAATGAAAAATGTTATTACTGAAAAGAGCTTTGCAGTAATAAAGGCAAAACATTCTGAGATGTAAATGTGATTTTTTTTTCAAGTTTGTTTCAATGTTTACTCTTGTTCAATAAACTATCACCTATTCAAAACAGTAAATGCATATAACAATAATTTAAGCAGAACAATTCCTCTTAACAAAATCCTGAGACCCCCAAATGCTGAGGGGAAAAAAAGAACCAGGCTTTACCAGGTTAACATCTTTGTGCCATTAGGAAAGAGCATCCAGCTGGTATGATTCTGCCTAAGTGGGCTTGGATATTTTCTGCATCTAGTAGGGGAATTAAGACTGTTAGAGCACTTTCCACTTAAAACATGTCAGGCACTATACAATAAGATGACAGTCCATAGACAAAACTGACACAGCAACATATTGTGTAGGGCAGGAGGAGGAAAAGAGGATTATTAAAATTAACTTAGCTACTTTCTACTTCTGCATACATTTTTTCAAACATACTGTAGATATGGCAAGAAGTATAATATACACAAATATCTCCAGCAGGGATTTTCAGACACAATGGAGATCTGGTTCTGACATTCACATGAAAAGATATTTTCAAAAGTAACCTCCATTAATATAAAAGAAGCAGATACTTGCTAATTACTTTACACAATGATGGTAGAATGACCCAGTCAGTTCTAAACTGCACGCTTCTACAAAATTAAAACCAAAACAATGTGTGGAAGGGGATTATGACCACTAAAAGAAAAAGGATATATTAAAAATAATAGCTCCTCTAACCAGTCATATGTAAAACAAAAATGAGCACTATTTAGGTTTACATTTTAATACAAAATACTATACAGGTTACTGGAACTATAAATTTCCAGTACACACACGCTCCATTTGGCAACCTATAAAATAAGGCAGCAAATCCAAGAGAAAAAACAATACTAGCATGGCCACCTTTTTATTTAACTTGCAAGCTTCCTAATAACCACTGTAGTATGCATAGTAACTTATATCCAACTGTTTAAGAGCTACAAGAATGGTGCTTATGGCTTAGAAACTGCCAAAAATACTAGCTGTCCTCTTCAGTTATATTCATAAAGTGAACAAATTCAATCTTTTATGCTCAGTCTTACACAACCATAGATATACAGCAAACCAAGGCTTAAACCTGGTTTTACACTCAGAAGTAAAGGTTGATGACCTACTACTACAGCAGATTCATTCTTACTTGCCATACTCAGTTTTCTTTAATCAGGTACTCAATTTGCATAAGCAAGTGCTTAGTTTAATATAGACAGCAACAACACTAGCGTGTGTAACAAAAATCATCATATTTTAACAATAAGGGTGCAGAGGAAGTTCAGGCAACCCACGCTTAACACAGTTTTGCTAAGCGCTATTTCGCTATAGTGCTCATTTTAAATACATATCTCGTTCCACTTAGTGCTCAGAGAGTTTCAGTGTGGCGCAGGGGGGGAGAAGCGGCGGCGGCAAGAAGTGGCAAGTGCGTGCGTGGGCGTGAGTGCAGGGTCCATGCTGGTGCCCCGGGGCCAAGACCAGTGGGGGCCCAGGGCAGGGCAGCAGGAGCGCGGGGCCCGGGCTGGCACGTGGTGTTGGAGCAGCCAGCCAGCTGGCTGGTGTGTGGACAGGAGGGTGGGATGAAGCAGCAGCGGTGATGAGAAGCGAGTGGCTGCACGGGCACAAGTGCGGGATCCACACCAGTGCCCAGGGTCAGGGCCGGCGGAGTAGCAGCAGCACAAGGTCCAGGCTGGCACGTGGCTCAAGTGGCAGTGGTGAGAAGCAGCGGTAACCAATTATTTTTAATTTACATTAAATCCTATGGGGAAATGGGTCTTGCTTCACATGGTTCCACTTAACTCTTGTTTCTTCCGGAACCAATTAAGAGCGCTAAGCAGGGGTTGCCTGCATATAGCATCCACTAAAGGACATGATAACCAATTTCGAACAGGCAGATACCTGTTCTACATGAGCGTGCAATATTTTAAAATATTTGTCTTTTTAGTTAACTATTCATCCTGAAACTTCATACAGAGTGAATTTTAAGATTTAAAGCTTGTGTGACATATGTAGCTTTGGGTTAAATTTCAGTTGAACATATTTACTTGTCAGAAGCCTTTCAGCTGCTATCCTTGGGGGAAAGTAACTTACTGGTTTCCTAGTGCATGCGTTTTGTTTTCCAAGAACCAGAACTCGAAAGGTTTGTTTACATCAATGTATAAATTTACATAGCTGCTGCTCCCCTATGAGCAGTCTTTAGAAGTTCAAACATTGACAAAAACAGAAACATGCAGCCTAGAA